GAGGAGGAGGAGGAGGATTGGGGGTTCCTTGGAGCTCTCTGTTGCATGACCCAATTAGGTCACTTCATCAGTGCTAGAAGGGATGGATGGTGATCACTATTGATATACTTCTAGCACTGATTGATGTCCCCTAGTTGTGTCCTGAAACATCTGCCAGAAAACCACCAACCTCAGGGAGCACCAAGGACATCCCAGTCGTCGTCGTCGTCCTCCTCCTCCTCCTCCTCCTCTATGCAACCCCCTCCCCTTCCAGCACTGATGATGTTACCTAGTTGGGTCATGAAACGCCGGCATGAAAACCACCACGCTCAGACCCCCCCCCCAGTTCAACCAAGAGCTACAAATATATTCTCTCCGCTGATTGGGGGCGTTTGGCTTCTTCAGGGACTTTTGTGGATGTTGAGCCATCTTCCCACATCTCTCTTACTCCTGCCTTTCTCCTCCTGCAGCCAGCCCGGGGCTGCTACCAGTTAATTATTGATGCTAGAATGACAATTATAGGTCCCTGCACAACCAGGCTAAATATTTCATCAGCCTCAAATGCAATAGGGGAGCAGAGCATCCTTCCGTCCCTTTGCTCGGCAGCTTCGTCTCCACCGCTGACTTTCGGGGTCCAGGACCCCCATTTGTCCTTCTCCTTGGAGCCCAGGGCAGAAGGAACTTCAACCTCACAGACCGTGGATCTGTCAGCCCGGAAGCTGTTCTATCTCCCAGCAAGAGATTCCCGCAATCCCGGCTCATCTTCTCTTGGATGAGTCGGCTATTAGAAGCAGAATAACAGAGTGACAGAGTTGGAAGAGATCCTAGAGATCTACTAGTCCGACCCCCTGCTTGAGCAGGACAACCTATACCAGAGTTATCCAAGCTTGGAACTTTTAAGACCTCGTGGACTTCAACTCCCAGCATTCCACAGCCCAGCCAACTCCCAGATTTCTGGGAGTTGAAGTCCACAAGTCATCAAAGGGCCAAGTTTGAAGACCCCTGATAGACTTTAAGAGGAGTGGACTTCAACTCCCAGAATTAATAATAATAATAGTAGTAGTAGTAGTAGTAGTAGTAGTAGTAGTAGTAAAGTTGGAAGGGATCTTGGAGGTCATCTAGTCCAACCCTTTGCTCAGGCAGGAAACCCTATACCATTGGACAAATAGCTGTCCAATCTCTTCTTAAAAACCTGGCATGCTCCAGTAATGGAGCATGCCACCTGTGGCACCCGTGCCATAGGTTCGTCCACCACAGCCCTAGACCATTCCAGACAAATGGCTGTCCAGTCTCTTCTTAAAAACCTCCGGTGTTGGAGCGCCCACAACTTCCGGTGGCCGGCTGTTCCACTGGTTAATCGTCCTCCCTGTCAGGAAGTTTCTCCTTAATTCCAGGTTGCTTCTCTCCTTGGTGAGTTTCCACCCGTTGCTTCTTGTCCTGCCTTCGGGTGTTTTTTTTTTTTTTGCTTCCAACACTGCCATGGGCCTCTCTCCCTTTGCTACGCTCCCTGCGGGCTCAGATATCTCCAGGTTCCTATTCCTGATTGATCATCCTCTGCAGGAATGGGACCCATTAGCTGCGTGTGAGGCAGCCAGGGATCACTTTCCAATCAATACCCTTTTAGACAAACAATGATGTATTTCTGAGCTGCCTTAAAGGGGCCACAGCAGGATGGAGAAGGAGAGAAGAAGCAAAGAACCTGCCCTGGCAGGACTTTAATTTCTCAGTTGATGATGATACAGTTGGAAGGGACTTTGGAGGTCATCTAGTCCAACCCCCTGCTCAGGCAGGAAACCCTACACCGTTTCGGACAAATGGCTGTGCAGTCTCTTCTTAAAAACTTCCAATGTTGGAGCATTCACCGCTTCTGGAGGCAGGTGGTTCCACTGGTTAATTGTTCTCACTGTCAGGAAGTTTCTCCTTAGTTCCAGGTTGCTTCTCTCCTTGATGAGTTTCCATCTGTTGCTTCTCATCCTTCCTTCAGGCGCTTTGGAGAAGAGCTTGACTTTGGGGCAGCCCCTGAGATACTGGAACGCTGCTATCCTGTCCCCCTTTGTCCTTCTCTTCCTTAAACTAGACATACCCAATTCCAGCAACCGTTCCTTATATGTTTTAGCCTCCAGTCCCCTGATCATCTTTGTTGTTCTTCTCTGCCCTCTTTCCGGAGTCTCAACAACTTTTTCACATTTGTGGTGACCAAAACTGGATGCCATATTCTAAGTGTGGCCTTACCAAGGCCTTGTAAAGTGGTATTAAGACTCTCCAGGGCTGAGAGGCAGGCAGTGGCCATCAGTAAAAGCACTTTGGGTTGGTTGGAAGTTTCTAGTTCTCATGAGCTGAATTTGGGGACAACACCTCCTCCCCCCTCCGTTTTCCTTCCACCTTAATTCTTGCCACTCAAAGCCCTGCCTCTGACTGAGGTCGTCCTCAATCAGAATGACAGTTGGAAGGGACCTTGGAGGTCTTCTAGTCCAACCCCCTGCTCAGGCAGGAGACCCTGTTACCATTTCAGACATTCCTCGACTCACAACAGCTTGTTTAGACCGTTCAGAGTTACTGAACAAAGTGACTTATGACCCTCTTTCACACTTAACGACCGTTGCGACCTGCCCATGGTCAACATTCAGACGCTGGGCAACTGGTTCGCGTTTATGACGGTCGCAGTGTCCTCAGTCACGCGATCGATCCCTTTTTGCAACCTCCTGACACACGAAGTCCATGGGGGGGGGGGAGCCAGATTCACTTAACAACCATGTTACTAACTTAACAGCCGAAGTGATTCACTGAACGGATGTGGCAATGACAGGTTGTAAAAGGGGGCAAAACCCACTTAACAAATGTCTCACTTCGGCAACATGAATTTGGGGCTCAAGGATAGTCATAACCTGAGGACTATCTGTGACTAAGCTAATTCTGAAAATTTTAAAGGCATCTGGCTTACGTGAGGAAAGAAACAGGGTGACCACTTAATAGATGTATTAATTTAATGAGCAACAAGCAGTTTTCTAAGCAAGTGGTTCCTAGAATTCACTGGTAACTTTTAGAACAAATTCGCTATAACTAGTAATAGTAGTAAAGTTGGAAGGGACCTTGGAGGTCATCTAGTCCAACCCCCTGTTCAGGCAGGAAACCCTACACCATTTTGGACAAATGGCTGTCCAGTCTCTTCTTAAAAACTTCCAGTGTTGGAGTATTTACTGCTTCTGGAGGCAGGCTGTTCCACTGATTAATTGTTCTGACTGTCAGGAAGTTTCTCCTTAGTTCTATGTTGCTTCTCTCCTTGATTAGTTTCCACCCATTGCTTCTTGTCCTGCCTTCAGGCGCCTTGGAAAATAGGTTGACTTCCTCTTCTTTGGAGAAGCCCCTGAGATATTGGAATATTGCTATCATGTCCCCCCTTGTCCTTCTCTTCGTTAAACTAGACATACCCAATTCTAGCCACCGTTCCTTATATGTTTTAGCCTCCAGTCCCCTAATCATCTTTGTTGCTCTTCTCTGTACTCTTTCTAGAGTCTCAACATCTTTTTTACATTGTGGTGACCAAAACTGGATGCAGGATTCCAAGTGTGGCCTTACCAAGGCATTAAAGAGTGGTGTTAATACTTCACTTGAAAGGGGCTTTGAAATTGGGGGGGGGGGTAATGTTGCTTATCATTAAAGCTGCTTTCTGCAGTTATTGTACATTGTGGCCAAGCTGCGAGTGGAACAAACCACGTTTGTTACACACTTGAAAAGAAGCACTGTATTTTAATCCTACACGAGGGGCAATTCTTTGAAATGCTGTGTAGGGCAAGTAATTGAATTCAGCTGAAAATTAGCCAGCTAGATCAGTTCCTGAGTTATAATGCATCTTTTGCGCACTAGGCTCTACACACCGCTCCTGATATGATCACCATCCTCTCCTTTTTATCTTCAGCTTCCTGTTTGGAAACAAGTCGGGAGATTCAACTCCTGTATGGCCATGGATTTGCGTGGTTATTGGTTTAGCGATAGCTTATGTGGACATTCCCCCTGGGAGGACAGGAAGCAGGAAATAACAGAAGTCGGCTCAGTCTAGTTGGGAAATTGCAGATAGGAACAGTTGATAATTCATGGAGAAAAAGGCAGGCAGGCAGGCAGGAAGGAAGGAAGGAAAAAAGAGGTAGGAGAGAAAGAAAAAGGGATGGAAGAAGGAAAAGAGGGAGAGGAATAAATGGAGGGAGAGAGGACGAAAAGAGAGGGAAGGAAGGAAAGAAAGAGGAAGGAAGGAAGGAAGGAAGGAAGGAAGGAAGGAAGGAAGGAAGGAAGGAAGGAAAAAACAGGTAGGAAAGAAAGAAAAAGGGATGGAAGAAGGAAAAGAGGGAGAGGAATAAATGGAGGGAGAGAGGACGAAAAGAGAGGGAAGGAAGGAAAGAAAGAGAAAAGGAAGGAAGGAAGGAAAAAAGAGGTAGGAAAGAAAGAAAAAGGGATGGAAGAAGGAAAAGAGGGAGAGGAATAAATGGAGGGAGAGGATGGAAAAGAGAGAGAGGGAAGGAAGGAAAGAAAGAGGAAGGAAGGAAGGAAGGAAGGAAGGGGAGGGAGTTGAGGAAAGAAGCAAGGTAGCAAGAAGGAAAAGAGGGAAAGCAAGAGGGAGGGGAGGGAGGGACGAAGGAAGGAAGGAAAAAAGGTAGGAAAGAAAGAAAAAGGGATGGAAGAAGGAAAAGAGGAGAGGAATAAATGGAAGGAGGGAGGATGGAAAACAGAAGGAAGGAAGGAAGGAAAGAAAGAAAGAAAGAAAGAAAGAAAGAAAGAAAGAAAGAAAGAAAGAAAGAGGGGAGGGAGTTGAGGAAAGAAGCAAGGTAGGAAGAAGAAAAAGAGGGAAAGCAAGAGGGAGGGTAGGGGAAGGAAGGAAGGAAGGAAGGAAGGAAGGAAGGAAGGAAGGAAGGAAGGAAGGAAGGAAGGAAGGAATCCTTTGTCAGTTCTGAGGAAGCCGGTGGTGAAACTCTTACAAGGATTCTTGAAAGCAGTTAATGTTGCTTTTTTCCGTTCTCTCCTCTTTCTAGATTTTTTCTCAAGTTCTTCCTCAAATGCAACCAGAACTGCTTGAAGAATGCTGGCAATCCCCGAGATATGCGCCGGTTCCAGGTGAGGCCGACGTTCCTCTTTCTTCTTTTCCGCCCTTCCCTGGAGACCCCCTTCTGAAAAAGAAGAAGAAGAAAAAAAAAGAAGCTCATCTGCTCTGGCTCAACCTCCTGGAGTCTGGAGGCTTTGCACAAAATGGGATGCCTCTTACTACAAGGAAGAAGGCGGCCCACAGGTTGGGGGGGGGCACTAGGGAGAAGATTGCTCATCAGCGCCCCTGGGCTCACAGTGGAAAACAAGGGATCCTTGGGGCTCTCTGAGCTTAGTGGTTTCTTTGCAGACGGTTCATGACCCAACTAGGTAACATCATCAGTGTTAGAAGGGTGTGGGGTTTGAAGAGAGGAGGAGGAGGAGAAAGAAGAAGACGAAGAAGAAGAAGAAGAAGAAGAAGAAGAAGAAGAAGAAGAAGAAGAAGAAGAAGAAGAAGAAGAAGAAGAAGAAGAAGAAGAGGAGGAGGAGGAGGAGGAGGAGGAGGAGGAGGAGGGGAAGGAGAAGAAGAAGAAGAGGAGGAGGAGGAGGAGGAGGAGGAGAAGAAGAAGAAGAAGAAGAAGAAGAAGAAGAAGAGGAAGAGGAGGAGAAGGAGAAGAAGAAGAGGAAGAGGAGGAGAAGGAGAAGAGGGAGAAGGAGAAGAGGAGGAGGAGGAGAAGGAGAAGAAGAAGAAGAGGAAGAGGAGGAGGAGGAAGAGTGACTGGGGTCTTTGTGCTCTCTTAGCTTGATGGTTTCCTTGCAGACGTTTCATGACCCAACTAGGTACTACCATCAGTGCTAGAAGCGAATGGGGTTTGCTCTCCATTTATATCAGTCAGTGTTGGTTGGGGTGTTCTTGGAAGTTCTCTGCTTGGGCTGTTTATTGTTAACTTGCTTGGCAGTTCCTTGATTGAGGTATTGGTTAAGTAAAGGTAAGTGAAGTAAACAATTCCCCAGCAACGCCCCACCTGTAATCCAGATGGTCAGTGCAAAGAGCAGGGAGATCTAAAATATTTGGCCAGTCCTCTGAAGGTCCAGCGGCTTCGAAGGACACTGGCTGTTTTTGGTCCCGGACGCTGCTCTCTTGCAGCGGTGGGGGCTCAAGTGTGCTCATCAAGGTGGGTGTGTTTTCTCTAGCAACCGCCCGGCACCAACACTATGCAAATTGGCATGGCTGTTAATCATGTAAAAATGTCACAATTACCATATCCTTATGCAAGCAAACTGATGAAGCTACCAGCTAGTCAGGGCTGGGGGATACCTGCGGAGTCCTGGCCCACAAAGCTGATTTTGCACAGCCCTCCTCGGCTCCTTTTAGATTTCTGGCCAGTGGCCAACGCAAGTCACAAAGAGAGAAACAGAAGGCAACTGTTTCATCCCCAAATGGTCTTGCTTTTGAATCGTGGGTTGTGCTCGTTTGTCAAGGCATTTGAAAACGGAAGCTTTTGTGCCTGGTGGCCATCCTTGGTTAATACATAGCGAGAGGATTGGCTTCCTACCTTGAAGGTAGAGGATTGTCCAGTTGTGCTCTCTCCAGCTTGGTGTTTGGGGCAATGGATATTGTAGTCCAACCACTGTGGAAAGCAACCAGTGGCCTTGTAGGCAGAATTAATATTCTGCAGGGAGGACAGAGATAGATAGATAGATAGATAGATAGATAGATAGATAGATAGATAGATAGATAGATAGGAGAGAGAGGATAGATAGATAGATAGATAGATAGATAGATAGATAGATAGATAGATAGATAGATAGATAGATAGATAGATAGATAAGCTTGATGGATGGATGGATGGATGGACGGACGGACGGACGGACAGACAGACAGATAGATAGATAGAGAGAGAAGAGAGAGAGAGGATAGATAGACAGACAGACAGACAGACAGATAGATAGATAAGCTGGATGGATGGATGGATGGATGGATGGACGGAAAGACAGACAGACAGACAGACAGACTAGATGGTGATGATGATAGGTAGATGATAGATAATGGATAATAGATGATGATTGATAGAGAGATAGATAGATAGATAGATAGATAGATAGATAGATAGATAGATAGATAGATAGATAGATAGATAGATAGATAGATAGATAGATATAAATCTCAACATCTGGCTGACTGTGACGAACCACAATAATAATAATGATAGGTAGATAGGTGGGTAAGAAAATAGGCAGATAAAGGACGACAGGGCAGGGCAGGATAGAGTGAAGTGATTCTGTATGTAGATATAAAGATCAACCAGAATAGAGCTGGAAGGGACCTTGGAGGTCATCTAGTCCAAGCAGGAGGCCTTATATGATAGAAGATAAATAGATCTCCGAGAGAGAGATGATAGAGAGAAAAGAAAGACACACACACACACACACACACACACACACACACATATATATATATACACATCCCCTTTCTGTTATATATATGTGTCCTCTTTCTGTTCTATACACACACACACACACACACACACACACACACACACACACACACATATATATATATATATATATATATATATATATATATATATATATATATATATATATATATCTTGAATGTTTTTTTTGATGCACCCTGTTGGCCCAAATATGGGAGGAAGAAATCTTTTGCCTGTATCAGCTCAATCTAGTGCGACATCATTTGTATTTCCTAAATTTTTGGATTGCTAACAAAGAATTAAGGGGGACTGGGATAGCTATTTCGAACTGATTAGCTCTCATCAGCCAGACCTACCCTTCTGAGATTTGAACCTGGGCTGCTTGCAGTTAGGCAGCTTTGTTGACCTTAAGCCACAGGCTCTTTCTCACTTTGTCAGCTGTATCAGGGGGGGAAGAGACCAGGGGAGGAGAAATAGCTATCCCAATCCCCCTTAATTCTTTGTTAGAGTTAAAGGGAGACTAGTATAGCTATTTCGAGCTATTTAGCTCTCACCAGCTAGCCATACCCTTCTGAGATTCGAACCTGGGCTGCTTAGGTTGGAGTTTTTTGGGTTTTTTTTTTCTGGCTTCCTTTTACATATTTTCTTTTGCTTTTCTCTGGAAGCAATTGTTCTCTTACTAATCTCTCTCGCTGCTTTAATAATAAAAGTTAAATTTTGTTAAAACAACAGCAGCCAACTACCCAAACGATAGACGGACGCTTTTTTAAACAGCTAAATTTCTAACATTGCCACCACCGTGTTTGCTTCTGTCCCGATCTTACTCCAAACTCTTTCTGATTGTTTGTCTTTCACGTGTCTCCTCCTGGTGCTTCCCTCTCCGCAGGTGGTGGTGTCAACGACGGTGAATGTGGACGGCCATGTCCTTGCCGTGTCCGACAACATGTTTGTCCACAACAATTCCAAACATGGACGCCGGGCACGGCGGTTGGATCCTTCGGAAGGTACCCCCTTGCCTGTCATACGGTTCAGCTTTGCGCACCAGAAACCACAAGAGTCCCTTAATAATCATCATCATCATCATCATCATCATCACAATAGGGGTGGAAGGGACCTTTGGAGGTCTTCTAGTCAAACCCTCTGCTCAAGCAGGAGACCCTACATCAGTGGTTCTCAACTTGTGGGTCGGGACCCCATTTGGGGTCAAACGACCATTTCACGGGGGTCGCCAAACAACGCAGTCCGCCATTTCCCCCCCCTTTTCCTTAGCTGTGCTACTCCCTTTTATTCTATTGGCTTTTGAAAGCCAATAGACTAGACTCTCTTGAATAGAGTCTAATTCTATTGGCTTTCAAAAGCCAATAGGAATTGTCCAGGCTGTCTCTGCCCTGCTGAGCCTGCCAAAAGTCCCATTCTGCAAATGGTGCTGCACCAGTTGAGTAATCCTCGACTTACGACCGGTTGAGTAGTCCTCGACTTACGACTGGTTGAGTAGTCCTCGACTTACAACCGGTTGAGTAGTCCTCGACTTACGACCGGTTGGGGGGTTGCGGCATTAAAAAGGTTGAGAACCACTGCCCTACATTATACCATTCCAGACAAGTGACCATGGGGATGCTGCAACGGTCGTAAGTGTGAAAAAGGGTCCTAAGTCACTTTTTCCCAGTGCCGTTGTAACTTTAAACGGTCACTAAAGGAACTGTTGTAAGTTGAGGCCTACCTGTAGGCAGAAGAACATCCACCAGGCATGGAAGCCAGGTATCTCTAACCCCGGTTTAGCATTACCTCTTTTCCAGCCAATGCCGGCCATAAGCTGGCTTGGCTTTAGGATCTTAATTAAGAGGAAGACGCATCGGGCTGCTGTTCCTTGGCTTGCCTTCCTTCCAAGAGGATCTCCTTTGTGAGTGGGAGGGGGTCTCTTTGGGGCCCTGGTCCTTGCCCTGCTTCCCTCCCCTCCCCTCCCCCTTCTTTCTGAGGGTCTTCTCTCTCCTCCTGGGGGATTCCTGACCCTTTGCTCCCCCCCTCTTTCTCCTCTTCCCACCTGAAGCAGCCACCCCCTGCATCAAAGCCATCAGCCCCAGTGAAGGCTGGACGACGGGAGGGGCCACCGTGATTGTGATTGGGGACAACTTCTTCGATGGGCTTCAGGTGGTCTTCGGCACCATGTTGGTCTGGAGTGAGGTGAGTTTGCCTGCTTCCCCCACTTCCCCCGTTTCTGGGTTCCGCTTTATCTTTCCTCTTTGGTCTTCCCCTTTCTTTCTTCTTACTACCCTCCCTTTTCCCCTTCCCTTTCTCTGTCTGCCTCTTTGTCTCTTCTTCTCTCCTCTCCTCTCCTCCTCTCCTCTCCTCTTCTATCTTTTCTTCTCCACTCCTCTTCTCTTCTCCTCTCCACACCACTCCTTTCCTTTTCTCTCCTCTCCTCTCCTCCTCTCTTTTCTTCTCCTCTCCTCTTCTCCACTCCTCTTTTCTTCTCCTCTCTTTTGTTCTCCTCTCCTCTCCTCTCTTTTCTTCTCTCCTCTCCACTCCTCTTCTCCACTCCTCTCCTCTTCTGTTCTCTTCTCCTCTCCACTCCTCCTCTCTTCTCTTTTCTCCTCTCCTCTTCTCTTCTCCTCTTTTCTTCTCCTCTCTTTTCTTCTCCTCTCCTCCTCTTCTCCACTCCTCTTCTCTCTTTTCTTCTCTCCTCTCCTCTCCACTCCTCTCTTCTCTTTTTTCTCCCCTCCGCTCCTCTTCTCTTCTCCTCTCCACTCCTCCTCTCTTTCTCTTCTCTCCTCTTCTCTTCTCCTCTTTTTTCTTCTCTTCTCCTCTCCACTCCACTCCTCTCCTCTTCTCTTCTCCTCTCTTTTCTTCTCCTCTTCTCCACTCCTCTCCTCTTCTGTTCTCTTCTCCACTCCTCCTCTCTTCTCTTTTCTCCTCTCTTCTCTTCTCCTCTTTTCTTCTCTCTTTTCTTCTCCTCTCCTCCTCTTCTCCACTCCTCTTCTCTCTTTTCTCCTCTCCTCTCCACTCCTCTTCTTTTTTCTCCCCTCCGCTCCTCTTCTCTCCTCTTCTCTTCTCCTCTCTTTTCTTCTCCTCTCCTCTCCACTCCACTCCTCTCCTCTTCTCTTCTCCTCTCTTTTCTTCTCCTCTCCTCTTCTGCACTCCTCTTCTCTTCTCTCCTCTTCTCTTCTCCTCTCTTTTCTTCTCCTCTCTTCTTCACTCCTCCTCTCCTCCTCTCCTCTCCAGTCCTCTCCTCTCCTTCCCCCTCCCCTCTGATCTCTCCTTCTTCCCTTCACATCCCAACAATTTATGTCTTGTTCCCTCCCTCCCCTTTCCCCTTTCCCTTTTCTTTTTTTTCCCTTTCTCTTGTTTTCCTTCCCATCTTCCCCCGTGCAAGACCTTTGAGTCCCAGCCAAATCCAAAGAGGCTGATTTGACTCCATTCTTTTGGTCTGGCCTTCAGTTTTTTGCTCCCACAAGAGTTTGCGGAAGCAGCCCAGATGAAGTTATTCTGCAGGCGGAAATGGCGCAAAGCTCGCCTCCAGCCCCAGCAATGTAAAAGTTAGAGAAATTCAGCCAAAGAGCGGCTTTTGGTCTGGGGTCCAACAGCAGCTGCTTCAGAGGTCTGCTTCGGCTCCAAAGCTGAAAATAAGCTTTGGCACTCCCGTCACTGGGCCCCTGGGAAAACTGGGTCTTTTCCTGGTTGCCAAGAAAAAACAAATTTAAGGCGTCGATAGTTCCCATTTTCAGGTCCAAGGCACATCACCTTCCTCATGGGGGGAGGTGTACTGGCACACACACCCTTTGTGGGCAAAGTCAGCCACATTCAAAAAGGTTCTCCAACTCCTGACAGGAAATTTCTCTGCGCCACTGCTGTGGTTCCTTATCTACGGAGTCTTTCCCAGGTGGAGGGGCCAGGAGGGAGAGTCTAGGCCAGGGGTGGGGAATCTTGGCTCTTTTATGACTGGTGGACTTCAACTCCCAGAATTCTTGAGCCAGCCATGCTGAGGGGAAAGGGAAAGGTTTCCAAGCTGAGCTGTGCTGGCTCATGAATTCTGGGAGTTGAAGTCCACGAGTCATAAAGCGGCCTAGGCCCTAGGCCAGAGATAGGCAACCTTGGCCTTTTTATGACTGGTGGACTTCAACTCCCAGAATTCATGAGCCGGCCATGCTGAGGGGAAAGGGAGAGTTTCCAAGCTGAGCCAGGCTGGCTCAGGAATTCTGGGAGTTGAAGTCCACAAGTCATAAAAGAGCCAAGGTTGCCAACCTCTGGCCTAGGCCTAGGCCGCTTTATGACTCGTGGACTTCAACTCCCAGAATTCCTGAGCCAGCCATGCTGAGGGGAAAGGGAGAGTTTCCAAGCTGAGCCAGGCTGGCTCAGGAATTCTGGGAGTTGAAGTCCACCAGTCATAAAAGAGCCAAGGTTGCCTACCCCTGGTCTAGGGAGAAGTGTGACCTAGAGTGAGGGACAATCAACCCCAGGGATGGGGAAGGAGGAGGAGAAAGGGAAGGAAGGAAGGAAGGAAGGAAGGAAGGAAGGAAGGAAGGAAGGAAGGAAGGAAGGAAGGAAGGATGGAGGAGGAAGAAGAGAGCGAAGGGAAGGAAGAAGAGAAGGAGAAGAAATAGGGAAGGAGAAGGAGAGAAGGAAGGGGAGGAACAAGAGAAAAAGGAGAAGGAGAAAGGATGTAGGAGAAGAAGGAGAAGGCAGAGGAAGAAGATTAGGAGGAGAAGGAACGCAGGAGGAGGAAGAGGAGAAGGAGATGGCTACCAGCCTCCAAGGTTCATGGCTTCTCTGGGCCCAACCCCTTTCCTTATCGCAAAGCTTCCCCTCCTGCTCTGACTGTCCTCTTCTCCCCATAACAGTTGATCACGCCACATGCCATCCGGGTCCAGACGCCACCCCGGCACATCCCCGGCGTGGTGGAGGTGACGCTCTCCTACAAGTCGAAGCAGTTTTGCAAAGGAGCCCCTGGGCGTTTTGTGTACACAGGTAAGCGCCAGGCAAGAGGGAAACCAACCACGGAAAAACAAGGGAGGGAGACACAGCTCCAGGGCTTCTGCCAGGGGCCGCTTGAGTCACAAAGCGTGTGGCCAGGGGCCAGGCAATGAAATGCCCCCACGCTGACTGCAAGCGCAGGAGTCTGCCCCACTGGCTCTGTTCCGAGGGCTAGGTGGCACTAATGTAGCTGAGTGTTCCTTGGATGGGAGACCACAAGGCAATCTCAAAGGTAAAAAAGATCCCTGGGTCACCTTGTAGGGGAGATGGCTGAGAAAGAAAAGAAAAAGAAAGGAAGAAAAAAAGAGAAAGAAAGAAAGAAAGAAAGAGGAAGAAAGGAAGGAAGAAAGAAAGAAAAAGAAAGAGAAAGAAAAGAAGGAAGGAAGAAAGAAAGAGAGAAAGAAAGAAAGAAAGAAAGAAAGAAAGAAAGAAAGAAAGAAAGAAAGAAAGAAAGAGGAAGGAAGGAAGGAAGCAAGGAAGGAAGAAAGAAAAAGAAAGAAAAAGAAAGAAAGAAAGAAAGGAAGGAAGGAAGGAAGAGGAAGGAAGGGAGGAAAAAAGGAAGGAAGGAAGAGAGGAAAAAGGAAAAAGAAAGGAAGGAAGGAAAGAAAGAAAGAAAAAGAAAGAAAGAAAGAAAGAAAGAAAGAAAGAAAGAAAGAAAGAAAGAAAGAAAGAAGTGGATGGATAGCCAGCCAGCCAGGCAGACAGACAGACAGATAGATAGATAGATAGATGAGAGAAGAAAAGAAAGAGAGAGGAAGGAACAGAACAGAATATAATTCTTTATTTGCCCAAATGTGATTAGACACCCAAGGAATTTGTCTCTAATGCAGAAGCTCTCAGTGAACATGCAAAACAACAGTAATAATAAGATGGGACCGCTGCCAAAAATCTACTCTTTCCCCCCCCCCCCGCCCAGTCTTTGACTGTCCTCCTGGACATAACCCCAGCCAGGAGGGCTGTGCCGCCCCCTCCCTCTCATTGCATGGCTAATCATGCATGCTGTGGCCTGGAAAAGGGGTCTGTGGGGGTGGGGGTGGGGGTGGGGGGGCAGCAGAGGGAGCCTCGGAAATCAATAGCAATTAAGGTTGCAGAGAGGATGCCCAGAACTGAAATGGTAGCATATGTTTACACTAAATCAAGCAATCCATCTTCATCCCGGTGTAGTAACAAAGCACATGCCAATCTGGGCTTGGGTGGCTTGGGGGGGGGGACAGAGTGGGAGGAGGAGGAGGAAGTGCAGAGAGGGGATGTTGGAGGGGATCCAGGCAAAGGGGGCAGGGGTCCCTGACGCACTGGCCTTGCTATTGATTCTTACTTATTTACTGTTATCCTGCCTTATTGTCTTTGTAAATAGCTCAGGGAGGCAAATATATCCAATACTCCTTCCTCTTCTTCCTAATTTCCTCACAACAACAAGCTGGGCTGGGCTGAGAAAGCAAGAAAGTCGCCCAGTCAGCTTCCATGCCTAAGGCGGGACTAGAACTCACCGTCTCCAGGTGATCGGCCCAAAGTCACCCAGTTGGCTTTCATGCCTAAGGCGGGACCAGAACTCACTGTCTCCTGGTGATTGGCCCAAAGACACCCAACCAGTTTTCATGCCTAAGGCAGGACTAGAACTCACCACCTCCTGGTGATTGGCCGAAAGTCACCCAACCAGTTTTCATGCCTAAGGCAGGACTAGAACTCACCGCCTCCTGGTGATCGGCCCAAAGTCACCCAGTTGGCTTTCATGCCTAAGGCAGGACTAGAACTCACCGCCTCCTGGTGATCGGCCCAAAGTCACCCAGTTGGCTTTCATGCCTAAGGCAGGACTAGAACTCACCATCTCCTGGTGATCGGCCCAAAGTCACCTAGTTGGCTTTCATGCCTAAGGCAGGACTAGAACTCACCGTCTCCTGGTGATCGGCCCAAAGTCACCCAGTTGGCTTTCATGCCTAAGGCGGGACTAGAACTCACCGTCTCCTGGTGATCGGCCCAAAGTCACCCAGCCGGCTTTCATGCCTAAGGCAAAACTAGAACTCACCATCTCCCAGCTTCTACCCTGGTGCCTTCAAGCCAAAACCAAACCGGCTCTGGCGATAGACTAGCCTTGAGGTCTACACCCCAAGTTCACAGACGGTCGTAAGCCGAGGACCACCCGCAGTTTGTTCATTGCACACTGCCAGTCTGATGGCTTCTTTCTTTCCCTCCATAGCCCTGAACGAGCCGACGATCGATTATGGCTTCCAGCGCCTACAGAAGGTGATTCCACGGCACCCCGGAGACCCCGAACGTTTGCCAAAGGTAGGACCCCCGTTCTCTCCCCTTAGGCCTCTTCCCATTGTGTTGTTGCGTCGAACACAGCTGCACTGGGAGAGGCTTGCTGTCTTTTTGAATTTTCTGATGAGGATAAGGGACAAAAAAAACCAAAACCAACCAGAAGAAATATTTAGTAAACCTGGTTTTGTTCTCTATCTGCTGGTTTATCTGCTGTCATTTGCAGGGAGTTGTGTCTTGTCGCTGTTGTTGTGATATAGGACCTCCTGCTCGAGCCACAGGCTGGACTAGAAGACCTCCAAGGTCCCTTCCAGCTCCATTCCGATTCATATCGCTTCGTTTCTTGCGGACGCATTTAGAAGTCCCGAAGTCTTGCTTGTTTTCCTGTATTTTTTATTTATTTTTTACTTCAGGGGTGTGTTTTAGTTTAAAAAGGGAAGATGGTGGTTGCCAAGGTGGGGTCAAAGTGGCTGCAAGATGTGATTAAAGATAAAAAAATAAATGCTGGCAGTCCTCAACGTACGACCACAACAGAGCCCAACTTTTCTGTTGCTAAGTGAGACATAACAGCCGTAAATTATAAGAACAAGACCCAAATGCAAAGGGAAAAGAACGCCCTCCCCCCAACACCCCACATTGCAGGTAGTCCTCGTTTAGTGGCCACTCAAATTAACGACGGTCCTGGAAAAAGTGAGTTATGACCGTTTTCACACTTACCGACTCTTTGCAGCCTCCCCGTGGGGGGGCTGAACAACTGCAGTGAGTCACTTAACAACTAATAATAATAATAATAATAAAGTTGGAAGGGACCTTGGAGGTCATCTAGTCCAACCCCCTGCTCAGGCAGGAAACCCTAGACCATTTCAGACAAACGGCTGTCCAGTCTCTTCTTCAAAACCTCCAGTGTTGGAGCATTCACCGCTTCTGGAGGTAGGTTGTTAATAATAACAATAAAGTTGGAAGGGACCTTGGAGGTCATCTAGTCCAACCCCCTGCTCAGGCAGGAAACCCTAGACCATTTCAGACAAACGGCTGTCCAGTCTCTTCTTCAAAACCTCCAGTGTTGGAGCATTCACCGCTTCTGGAGGTAGGTTGTTAATAATAACAATAAAGTTGGAAGGGACCTTGGAGGTCATCTAGTCCAACCCCCTGCTCAGGCAGGAAACCCTAGACCATTTCAGACAAACGGCTGTCCCGTCTCTTCTTCAAAACGTCCAGTGTTGGAGCACTCACTGTGGCAAGAAAGATCGCAAGACTGGGACAAAACTAACATCGCTTCGCAATGGAAATCTGTACTCATGCCTTTGGCTTTTTTCCTGCCTAAATGTAAAACTTTGCTTTTCTCCACATTGAAGTTCATTTTGTTGGACAGGGCCCATTGTTTGAGTTTGTCCAGATCTTTTTGGATCCTGAATTTGTCTTTTGGGGTGTTGGCTACTCCTGCCAGTTCGGTGTCACCTGCAGATTTGATGAGTTCCTTTTCAATTCCCTCATCTAAGTCATTGATGAAGATGTTCAAGAGTTGCTGAGCCTAAGACAGAACCTTGTGGTAGCCCGCTGCTTACTTCTCTCCATGTGGATGTAGTGCCATTGAGGACTACTCATTGAGTACGGTTTGCCGGCCAGCTACAGATCCATCTGGTGGTGATGTTGTCCATATTCCACCTTTTCCTAGCTTACTAAGGAGTAGACTGTGGTCTACTTTGTCGAATGCCTTACTGCAGTGGTTCTCCACCTGTGGGTCGGGACCCCATTTGGGGTCGAACGACCATTTCACGGGGGTCGCCAAACAACGCAGTCCGCCATTGTTTTCCCCCCTTTTCCTTAGCTGTGCTACTCCCTTTTATTCTATTGGCTTTCGAAAGCCAATAGAAGAGACTCTCTTGAATAGAGTCTCATTCTATTGGCTTTCCAAAGCCAATAGGAATTGCCCAGGCTGTCTCTGCCCTGCTGAGCCCGCCAAAAGTCCCATTCTGCCAACGGTGCTGCACCGGTTGAGTACTCCTCGACTTATGACCGGTTGAGTAGTCCTCGACTTACGACCGGTTGGGGATCGCGGCATTAAAAAGGTTGGGAACCACTGCCTTACTGAAATCTAAGTATACGACGTCCACTGCGTTTCGCTGGTCTACTAGTTTAGTCACTTGGTCGAAGAATGAAATAAGATCAGTTTGGCCTGATCTGTTTTTGACAAACCCGTGCTGGCTGCTGCTTATGAGTTTGTTTGCTTATACTTGTCTGCAGATCTGGTTTTGGATTCTTTTTTCCATGAGGGAAGCGGGATGGCATGGGCAACCAGGCCCCCTCAAGGTCGGAGGAGAATTTGGCACCCATCTGCAGCACGAGGGCACCGCTCCGGGCTCCTGCGGTGGTGGTTGGGTGCCTCTAGCTTGCACCGCCGTCCTTGGGAAAAGCCTCTGAGCAGAGAGCAGCTGGCGGAAAGAGGGGGCTTCGGATGGGGAGTGACAGCCGAAGGCAGCCACCAAATTGCAGCCATTAATCATGGCTTGACAAGGATGCAGGAGCTGCTTTGGCTGCTGTTTGCCCCCACAGTTCCCCTCCCCTACCTGGGGGAACCTGGGGGGCTCAGTGCCCCATGCCTGGGGGGGGGCTCAGAAGCCTCCCACCCATGCATGGTGGACATAAACCCCCCCCCACACACACACACACATTATCTGGTCTCTCTCTCAGCCCCATCAGCCAGTCTGGGGTCGTTTTTTTAAAAAGGCCCAGGTGAGACTGTCGTTCTCCGGACCCTTTTTATCCAAGTTAATTGATTTTCCAAATTAGATTTGCTGAGATGGAGTCAGGCACAGCTTTTTCCCTGGAAGGGAGTTAAGGAAATAGGAGAACAGATGCTGCAGTTGAGATGGTTCTTGAGGTAGATGGTCTCTGTCTAGGGAGGCTCTTTGTCTCATCCGTGTGTTTGTCCGAATCCTTTAGGCAAATGAAATTGGGATGATTGGTGCTTGAAGTTATTTATATGTTGGGGAAGGAGGAGGAGGAGCAGGAGAAAAGAAGAAGAGAAAAAGAAAGAAGAGGAAGGAGGAGGAGGAGAAAAGAAGAAGAGAAAAAGAAAGAAGAGGAAGGAGGAGGAGGAAGAGAAAAGAAGAGAAAAAGAAAGAAGAGGAAGGAGGAGGAGGAAGAGAAAAGAAGAGAAAGAGGAAGGAGGAGGAGGAGAAAGAGGAAAGGAGAAAAGAAGGAAAAAGAAAGAAGGGAGGAGGAGGAGGAGAAAAGAAGAGGAAGGAGGAGGAGGAGGAAAAAGAGGAGCAGGAGAAAAGAAGAAGAGAAAAAGAAAGAAGAGGAAGGAGGAGGAGAAAAGAGAAAGAAAGAAGAGGAAGGAGGAGGAGGAAGAGAAAAGAAGAAGAGAAAAAGAAAGAAGAGGAAGGAGGAGGAGGAGGAGAAAAGAAGAGAAAGAAAGAAGAGGAAGGAGGAGGAGGAGAAAGAGGAAGAGGAGAAAAGAAGGAAAAAGAAAGAAGGGAGGAGGAGGAGGAGAAAAGAAGAGGAAGGAGGAGGAGGAAAAAGAGGAGGAGCAGGAGAAAAGAAGAAGAGAAAAAGAAAGAAGAGGAAGAAGGAGGAGGAGAAAAGAAGAGAAAGAAGAGGAAGGAGGAGGAAGAGAAAAGAAGAGAAAAAGAAAGAAGGAAGGAGGAGGAGAAAAGAAGAGGAAGGAGAGGAGGAGAAAGAGGAGGAGGAGGAGAAAAGAAGAAGAGAAAAAGAAAGAAGAGGAAGGAGGAAGAGAAAAGAAAAAGAAAGAAGAAGAGGAAGGAGGAGGAGGAGAAAGGAGAAAAGAAGAGAAAAAGAAAGAAGGAAGGAGAGGAGGAGAAAGAGGAGGAGGAGGAGGAGAAAAGAAGAAGAGAAAAAGAAAGAAGAGGAAGGAGGAGGAGAAAAGAAGAGAAAGAAGAGGAAGGAGGAAGAGGAAGAGAAAAGAAGAAGAGAAAAAGAAAGAAGAGGGAGGAGGAGAAAAGAAGAAGAGAAAAAGAAAGAAGAGGAAGGAGGAGGAGAAAAGAAGAGAAAGAAGAGGAAGGAGGAGGAAGAAGAGAAAAGAAGAAGAGAAAAAGAAAGAAGAGGAAGGAGGAGGAGAAAAGAAGAAGAGAAAAAGAAAGAAGAGGAAGGAGGAGGAGAAAAGAAGAAGAGAAAAAGAAAGAAGGAAGGAGAGGAGGAGAAAAGAAGAAGAGAAAAAGGAAGAAGAAGAGGAGGAGGAGGGATGTGATGGTGGCTGGCAAGCAGCTTTCATGGCTACATCCTAAGTTTCAGAGCTTGAAAAAATTTTAAACGCATGTTTTTAGAAAAATAACTAAATCTCCAATTTTGAGCTCATTTTTTTTAGAAGAGGTGGATCGAGTGAACAAAGAAAACATCCAGAGGAAAATAAAAATACAGAGTGGGAGGAAAGGAAGATAAATTAAGAAACAAAACAACAGGGAATGAAAAGATACAAAGGGCAGCAAAATGTAGAAATATGTACTCCTACATGCAAAATATTAGAAATATGCCAAGCTGAACGTTCCATCTTTTTTCTCCAGATTGTGCCAATCTGGGTCCAAGCCAACTGTCCTAAAATCAATTCTCTAAACTGTAGTTTGATGTTCAAAGCCACAAACAGCTGTTAGTTTTGCTTATCTGTTTTGTGTGTGAGAGAGAGAGACAGGGGGGAAGGGAGAAGGAAGGAAGGAAGGAAGGAAGGAAGGAAGGAAGGAAGGAAGGAAGGAAGGAAGGAAGGAAGGAAGGGAAGGGGAGACAGAAGGAGAGAGAGAAAGAAAGAGAAAGAAAGAAAGAAAGAAAGAAAGAAAGAAAGAAAGAAAGGTAATTGAGCAAAGGGAAGAAAGAAAGAAAGAAAGAAAGAAAGAAAGAAAGAAAGAAAGAAAGAAAGAAAGAAAGAAAGAAAGAAAGAAAAGTAATTGAGCAAAGGGAACCAAGAAAGAAAGAAAGAAAGAAAGAAAGAAAGAAAGAAAGAAAGAAAGGTAATTGAGCAAAGGGAACCATTTTAAACTATCACATTTAATGTTTCCACCCAGAATGACATTTGG